TACAGTTATATTGATTAGTTTATTGTATACCCAAATGTCGCTCTTCTAGATATGTTAGATATCTTAATTATTGGAAGAGTCGGCCATGCGTGATGTATGTGAGACGCAAAATATCTCTAAAAAACGTATAATAATAACTATAAGTTATATACCGAGCGCAGCACGTGCACGATTAGGCATTACAGTGGATCTCAAGTCAACCAGGTGACAGGTGTAACGAAGTGTGCTCTTATTTCAGTATCAAGGATTATACTGGAACCTCGTCCAAACACAGTGGGTTGGTCAATGATGTGCATCACCTGATCCAGTGGCTATAGCCAACTAGCCCCGACTAATTTAATGTTAAGTCGTCTTTGGTGAAAGCTGCGTCACCGAATACAGGATACGGCTAACTGGTTCACGCATTCTTTTGTCGACAAGACAGCGGCAGCAGCTGTCGTTAGTTCACCACACAATTCAAGACTGAATGCACCAGTTGTATGCTTAATGTTAACCCTTGCACACGGTAATAGTGAGGAATAATGGAAGGGATTAGAATGTCATGGGAACATGGAAGTGAGTAGAATGTTACGGGAACATGGAAGTAAGTAGAATATTACGGAACAAATGAGTGAATAGAATGTTACGGAAAACATGGAAGATGAGTACAATTTAACGTCAACATGGACATAAGTAGAGTGTTACGGGAGCATGGAAGTGAGTAGAATGGTACGGGACATGGGAGTGAGTAGAGTCTTTTAGAAACATGAAGTGTGTAGAGTGTAACGGGTAATGAAAATGAGTGGAATTTTACAGGAAAATGGAAGTGAGTAGAGTGTTAAAGACACATGGTAGTGAGTTTAAAAATACTGGCAAATGGAAAGGCTTACAGTGTAACTGGCAAATGGAATTGATTAGAATCTTAAGGGAGCATAGGAGTAAGTAGAATGTTACAGGCAAATGAAAGTGAGTAGAATGTTTCGGGCAAATTGAAGTGAGTTAAGTATTATTGAAACATGGAAGTGGGTAGAATGTTACTTGCACATGGAATTGAGCAGAATGTTACTGGTACATGGAAGTGAGTAGAATGTTACTGGCACATGGAAGTGAGTAGAATGTTATGCACACTTGGAAGTGAGTAGAGTGTTACGGACACATGGAAGTGAGTAGAGTGTTACGGACACATGGATGTGAGTAGAGTGTTACGGACACATGGATGTGAGTAGAGTGTTACGGAAACAAGGATGTGAGTAGAGTGTTACGGACACATGGAAGTGAGTAGAATGTTACTTGCACATGGAAGTGAGTAGAATATTACGGACACTTGGAAGTGAGTAGAATGTTACTTGCACATGGAAGTGAGTAGAATGTTACGGACACTTGGAAGTGAGTAGAGTGTTACAGACACATGGAAGTGAGTAGAGTGTTACGACACATGGAAGTGAGTAGAGTGTTACGGACACATGGAAGTGAGTAGAGTGTTACTTGCACATGGAATTGAGTAGAATGTTACTGGCACATGGAAGTGAGTAGAATGTTACGGACACTTGGAAGTGAGTAGATTGTTACGGACACATGGAAGTGAGTAGAGTGTTACGACACATGGAAGTGAGTAGAGTGTTACGGACACATGGATGTGAGTAGAGTGTTACGGACACATGTATGTATGTAGAGTGTTACGGACACATGGATGTGAGTAGAGTGTTACGGACACATGGATGTGAGTAGAGTGTTAGGGACACATGGAAGTGAGTAGAATGATACTTGCACATGGAAGTGAGTAGAATGTTACGGACACTTGGAAGTGAGTAGAGTGTTACGGACACATGGAAGTGAGTAGAGTGTTACGACACATGGAAGTGAGTAGAGTGTTACGGACACATGGATGTGAGTAGAGTGTTACTTGCACATGGAATTGAGTAGAATGTTACTGGCACATGGAAGTGAGTAGAATGTTACGGACACTTGGAAGTGAGTAGAGTGTTACGGACACACGGAAGTGAGTAGAGTGTTACGACACATGGAAGTGAGTAGAGTGTTACGGACACATGGATGTGAGTAGAGTGTTACGGACACATGTATGTATGTAGAGTGTTACGGACACATGGATGTGAGTAGAGTGTTACGGACACATGGATGTGAGTAGTGTGTTAGGGACACATGGAAGTGAGTAGAATGTTACGTGCACATGGAAGTGAGTGAAATGTGACGGGCTAATTGAAGTTAGTAGAAAGTTACGGGCACATGGAAGTCAGTAGAATGTTACGGACACATGGAAGTGAGTAGAATGTTATCGACACATGGAAGTGAGTAGAGTGTTACGGGCACATGGAAATGAGTGAATGTTACGGATGCATCGAAGTGAGTAGAATGTTACGGGGACATGGAAGTGAGTAGAGTGTTACGAACACATGGAAGTGAGTAGCGTGTTACAGAAATTTAGAAATGAGTAGCTTGTAGGGAACAGTGTGTTTGGAGAACAGGTGTTTATGGAACAGTGTGTGAAGAGAATTATGTGTTTAGAGAACAGAATGTTAAGAGAGAAGTGTTTTTGGTGAAGATGGTATTTAATGAAAAGTGTGTTTAGGAAACCGTGCGTTTACGGAACATGGTCGAGTACAAGTTACAGAAGTTAGAAATTGTGGAAGAAATGTGAAAATGAAGTGGGCGTATTGAGTTGGGATATATTGAAAAAGGGACAGGTGTGTAGAGAAACGTTTCCCATAGGTAAGAGGTTAGATTAAAAATCGTGGGAAAATAGAGATTTGAATGGTAAATGGGAGGATTGCTTGAGTGGAGAGATTGTGGAAGAGTATGGACGAGGGCTTGATAAGGGTTTGTACTAAGAACATTGTATACTCTTTATCGTCACCCTTGATATCTGAGTTTCGGCACAAGGACGTCTGAAATCTAGCACGGCTGATAGTAAGCATCCTGTTAATGATTTATTATTATGATAACAACATCTTAGGCTTAACGTAACAACGTCTACTATAAGTAATTGCAATGCAGTGCTTTATCGTGTAGCACCTCATTATTTATGTAGTCCAAAGAATAAAAAATAATCTTTCAGTAAAACTGTCTTTTTCGTACTGCCTGCTTCCATACTGTCCACTGCCTACTGTTATACTTTCATACTGCCATACTTCCGTACTTCATAATGTCACACTTCCATACTTCCTAGTACCATACGGCCTACGGCCATATTTCCATACTCCCATACTTGCATACTGCAAACTGCCATACCTCTATGCTGCCATACTTACAAGACTTTAAAATTGGGTACCCAAGACGCATTATTATAGTGTTTAGTTTGCAAGTATTATCAGGATATATTTTATTTATGTGTTTCCTGTAATTGTTGTGTCAAATAGAGTTATTACTTTGTTGAGAAAGATGTGTATTTGTCTTTAGAATTAAGAGAACAAAGGAACTACGTCAACGTGGGTTTTGCACAAATTTGATGATAATGCTAAAATTTCTCAATTATTAAAATAGGGGCCTACATTTCATTCACTTTTTCAGTCTCATCTCGATGGTCTCATTCCACACGTCAGTGTTCTTTCCCAGTGGTCCGTGTTACTCAAGTTTACTCCAATATGTTTAAATCTTGTAATTTGGAATTAATGAGCATTCTATGAGGTGTAATATTTTTTCTTAATTAACAGGTTTCAACTGAGTAAACTTCTAATCAAAGAACTCAATACGTAACCACCTGTGTGGTCTGGTGGCGCCAAAAGTTGAACGCCACGTGCGCTCTTGTGTCTTAAAGATCATGAATTGCATCAGTAGATGAAGAAATCGTTGTTGACTACCTCCTTTGTAGCCCTCTCTCTCTGTGTCAGTCCCTCCCCTCTCTTTTTTCTTGTTCTTTCTCTTTCTCTCTCTCTCTCTCTTTCTCTCTCTTTCTGTCGTTCTCTCTTTCTCTCTCCCACACTCACTCTCTCTTCTCTATCTATCTTTATCTCTGCCCCTCTTTCTCTCTTTCTTTCTTTGTCTTTCTCTCTCTCTCTTCTCTCTCTCTCTCTCTCCACACTTATTCTCTATTCTCTCTTTCTCTCCATACCCCACCTTCAACTCTCTCTCCTTTCTCTCTCTCTCTCTCTCTCTCTCTCTCCCTGTCTCCCTATATTTCACAGTTTTTAAATGCATACCTCTGGTGGTCTATTTATCTATTTGGTTTTAATAAGTTCTCACTCAAAATCTTTTAGTCACATTTGAAATAGTACATAATGTTATCAATGGACATTCTGTTGATGATTTTCATTAGTTATGATTACTCCTTTTCTAATTGTTTTCTGCCACCACCCTTTAGTATTTTTAGCATACAATTATTACTGTCATATAGTCTCGTAACATTTAGTTTTCAGTTGTATTTAGAACTGTTTAAATCCGTCAAGAAATTATAATTAATTCCATATTCTAAATATCTTGCAATTAAACACAGAAATCAGACGTGTTTAACAGCAATTTTTTAGTATTGCGTAAAATTATAATAATAATAATCTTGAAATATAGAAATCAGCGTAACACGGAAGGACTAATAGCTTTACTAATATTAAAAACGAAACAACATTTTAGAGCTGCCACAATGCTGGAAGTTAATTCCGTGGCGTGACATGTTTAACGGATAACTAATTTTGTCAAAGGATAAACAACTTTCCACCCCATTTCTTGGAACCACCCAAACAATAGTTAACCACGCCCTAACATTGCCGTACATTTGATCCGACACTGCACTTATACACATAAAACTACACGTCAATTTTATGCTAAAACATTTCCATTAAAGGTTGTTTCTTTTTTTTATCAAATTTTTTTTGACCCATTTTTCTGAAAGGTCACTCCAGCGATTGTTCTTAACACAGAGAGAATCTTATCAGACGTTTCATGGTTAGGACAATTCAAAAAAAAAAAAAAGAAGACTATTTGTTGTGGACTTGTTGTTGTCAATTTTTTTTAAACTACTTATTGTTTCTTTTTTTTATCAAATTTTTTTTGACCCATTTTTCTGAAAGGTCACTCCAGCGATTGTTCTTAACACAAAGAGAATCTTATCAGACGTTTCATGGTTAGTACAATTCAAAAAAAAAAAAAAGAAGACTATTTGTTGTGGACTTGTTGTTGTCAATTTTTTTTAAACTACTTCCTTTAACAATTCGATTGTAATGTTTCCGTGTTGTTGATGGCAACAAAAAATCTGACATTGAAATTATAAATATGCTATGTTTTAATTAGGAAAGGAGAAGAAAAACTCCAAGATAATAATACATGAAAGGCACTCATTAGAACTCCATGAAGGTATTCGAAAATGAGATTCACGTTTTCCTTAATTTTAATCATCATCAGTGCATCACTTGTTGTCATTGAAGGTAAGCGGTGTTTTGCTTCTTATAAATGTTTTCAGTTTAAGAGTTTATGTTAAATAAATATTGTATTTTGTAAACTTTAGCACTCAGGCAAATGTTGTCGCTGTGTTCTTCCAATTTTATTCCAATGTCTCAAATTAATGTTAGGTTAATGCTGCATGGAAGGCATTTATTTAATAGATAATTCCTTAAACACAAAAGTAAATATGTACCTGTACAAATGTGGTGCTAACAAAATTCATTAGAAAAATGTCTCCCCGTACCCCCCTGACACTGGCTCCTGCACCCCTTAAGGGCGCCGGCATTTCTAAGGGTTTCAGTACCTTGTTAGACCCCATTTTTTGTATTGGTGGTGATTGCACATATCTATTTCTTTTGTTGGTTTCTTTTTAACTTCAAAACATTAATAGAGAATGCAGCGCTGTAATTCTCTCTCATTCTCTCTCTCTCTCTCTCTCTCTCTCTCTCTCTCTATATATATATATATATATATATATATATATATATATATATATATATATATAGATATATATATAAATATATATATATCTCTCTCTTTCTCTCTCTCTCTCTCTCTCTCTCTCTCTCTCTCTATATATATATATATATATATATATATATATATATATATAGATAGATAGATAGATAGATAAAGATAAATATATTATCTTTTAGCTTCAAAATAGAAATACCAGCTATCAGTGGCATTAAAAAGATGTCCTTTTAATGTATTAGATTATTTTTTTTTAAAAAGCAGTGTGCAACGCATATAATGAAAAATTATAATACTTTGTTTTAATAAAGGTTGAATAATGTTAGACCGGTAGACCAGGAAGGAATCTATTGATGGTTTATGGCGTATAAAAGAACGACTGATTCAGCTTTTAACGCTGGATGGTACGGATAAATCTAATGTTTGGTTATGAAGTATATCTTATCCCCGATTCACCCTGTAACACTAGATGGTATTGGAGCAACTAAAGATGTGTTCTGACACATATCTTATCTCTCATCAAGTTTGCAGCAGTGGATGGTATGGAAGAATCGAACGTTTGGTTAAAAAGTATATCTTATGCCCGATTCACCCTGTAACACTAGATGGTTTTGAAGCAACTAAAGATGTGATCTGAAACATATCTTATATCTCATCCAGCTTGTGACAGTGGATGGTATGGGCCGAGATGTCAGTTCATGTGTCACTGCAGTAACAACCAGTGCGATGAGGCTGGTAGATGCCTTAATGGAGACAGGTGTCGAACTGGCTGGTTCGGTCCCGGATGCCAATACCGTAAGAAATTTCTGTCTTACACATAATATTTTGCAATACACCTGACAAATTGCGAGATTGACTCTATTGTTACTTTATCTAGGATTTCCAATAACTTAAAAATAGTAGTTTACATAATTTACTGGTTCAACTAAAAACAAATGCATCTGTTTCAACGGAACTTTACTCAGTTTAGTTCAGTTACCTATAAGCCGAGAGTTCATTTCAAAAATAGGACCATTGATCAATTGGCTATTAGAGGACAAAATTGCTGATGATATCATATGATATTTTTTCTTAGTTAAGCCCATCATTTTCACCAGACTTCATACATTTCTAAAGTCAACCGCCAGTCAAAGATTCCCCCCCCCCCGGCCCCACCTATGCTAAAAGTTAAAGAAGCTGTCATTTTCCTGTAACGTTTTCTTCTCTATTTTGGATTTAATTATGGTTATGAAGGTAACAATGGCATAATGTTTTCACAGAGGATGTAAGTGTTTTAGCCAATGTGACAACGAGTTTACATCACGGAGATGTCCTGACAGACGGCGAGGATCTCACATGCATTAGGAAGTTGACTTATGTAACATCCTACTTATCCAGCCCATATCCAGTTATATGGGTCAGAGCTGTAGGACCTTACTTCGGACCTGGCTTAGGTACGTACATAAAAGTTCAAAAGATAAATTATATGTATTATATCTTTTATCATATTTGTAATATATTTAGCCAAAACTCCATTATTTCAATAACATTATCATTGTAGACGAATGAATGGGCAAAAGTTGATTTAATGTTCACCGTGTTTTGCAATCTGATAGCATCTTTAGGAGAGATTTCCCTGAGTTACAAAGAACACTTCACTGACAGCCTATTACAGAACGGATGTAACTCCATCAAAACGTCAGTGCTGGATGACAACATAATTGTTGATGTCTTCTGTGAGACTAGCGTAACTGCCGCGGTCCTACATTTGTCCTGGGAGAGACCCGTAGAGATCTGCTCTCTTTACATCAGTGGAGGTAGGCTGTATTTGTGATGTTGTAAAATGTATCTTAAACTAACCTCTTGATATGATATACACTTCTTTCAGGATTTGGTTTTCAATTTGTGTGGAGATAGGCCTAAGTGCATTAATTATTTGTATAAATACTGAATAATAGGGTCTCGATAAAGTTATGCTTAATGAAGGTTGCACGATTATAGTTATATCACTAAATGAATGTTGCACGACAATAATTGTTTGACTAAATGAATGGTGAACGACTATAATGATATGACTAAATGATTCGTGAACGACTATAATAACGTGACTAAACGAATGGTGAACGACCATAATATTATGGCTAATTGAAGTAAGTTAGTATCGGTGAAGTCTGATTAAAATAGTTGCCAGGGGATATAACATATTGACTCATGAATTAATTTATATTTGTACGTAAGGAGATTTTTACTCATATGGTTTAAATTTAGGGTTAAATAAGCAGACGCAGAATTCCCCCTCTATTTTACTTCCAGGCAGAAACCTGGCCCTTAAGCAGAATGCCACACAATCCAGCATTTACTATGACCCAAACGGGGTGTCAACGATTGCCGACAATGCCGTGGACGGCAACACCAACACCAACTACGGCAGTGGCAGCTGTGCCCACACGGACAGTCCGATAGCAGAGCCGCACTGGAACCTCATGTTTCCCAACACTGTTAATATTAACAGAATTGTGGTCTACAACAGACTGGACGTGGGGGGCAATCTAGGTAATAATAAATCTTTTATTTGTAGACCTTTAATCTGACGTCTGTGATAATATAAGACTAATAATGTTAAAATACGAACCAACCAGGAATTGTATAGTCTAAATCAGGATCCCACGCTAGTAGCTAAAATAAGAAAAGGGTAGGCCACAATTGGTGGGACACTTAGAGAGAGTTATCCTACGTATCCCTTGGTTCGAAACTAAACACCCACTCGGCACACAGCTGGAGCTGTTAACTGAAATAAATATTATTTTTAAAATGCCAAATGACAGAGGAGTGAAGAGGATGAACTACCAAAACCCCAGGGGAAAACGGCTCAAAAGGCAGACCGAGGCTTAGATGGATGGATGATGTGGGAAAAAGATCTATAGTGGCTGGAAATCCAAGCATGGAAAATGAAAGCATTAGTTAGATCTTTAGCACACACAAAAAAAACGAACCCAAAAACGGGTCAGGGTTATTGGAAGGAAGTGGTGAAGCAGACCAAAGCCCTACATGGGCTGAAGCACAACAGGGATTGATGGGCAGATAATGTTAAAAGTTTTAAAAGAAAATTTTCAGAATACGTAAACGGTGAATGATAAAGAAACACAAAAATGCATGCAAGTCTATTGTTTTTTAGCGAAAAGTTTAGCACTACGGACTTATTTTGTTATTTATCCTCTTATAAATATTAATCCGCTTAAATGTGTGCATACCATTTATAACTTTTTTTTATTGCAGATGGCAAATGTTGCTCCATTCGACTCAAAGGATTTAAAATAGCCGTCTACGACTCACTCCGCCAGAAAGTCTACAGTTTTACGGATACCAGCAGCAAACCACAAGTCAGCTATACTGTGATAGAGCCCAAAATTAACGTCAACGCCTCAGAAATGCAAATATCCGTAGCCAACCCGGAAAAGGTCCTTGCCTTGTGTGAAGTGGAAGTATTTGGTTGTAAGTTCACACACAACGGCATGCTAGAAAAATTAAGTTAGAAAAACATAAGCTAAAAAAAAAAGGGAAACTTAAATATTGACAGGGGAAACGACAAGGAAAGAGACTTAAACAGTTTTTATTGAAAAGTGTGTAAAGAGCTATTAACTTAACAAAAAAGTATCATATGAATTCAAAACTGAGAAATTATTGCTGTTACGATAGTTGCGTTATATAAGTATGACACTGTGACGTTTATTATAACTATTTTAACACTCATGCGGGTAAAAATTAGGGTATACTATAAAACAAAGGTTCCCAAATCCCACCCCACGGGCCACTTTTGGCACGTGAGGTCTCGGAAGCGACCCAAGAGGCCTTAATATTTACTATATTACATTTTAATGATTCAAACATTTAGTGACATTTAAATAAAATAAATATTCACAAGAGAACGCTGTAGTAATGTGCGATCTACGATAGCCTAGAATCTAGAATTTCCAGATGCTAAAATCTACAAAAGACAGCTAAACCTTCAGCACGAAGGAATTGTTGAGAAATGCAACTCTGCACTGAGGTCCAAATTATTTAAGCTTTCTGCTTCCCCCTAAGCTGATCATATGGCCTCATTCTGGTGGCTATTGTCCATCCAACAATTTGCTTTCATTTACACAGATATACATTAATCGCTATAGTTCGATTTATACATGCTAGCAGTAATTTTTGGCAAAGAAAAGTACTTTTAAAAAACAAAAAAACAAACAAGAACCATTCCAAACCCTGCGTATGGCTTTGGGCACGACAGCGTTGTGGTCAGATATTGAAGAACGGGCTTTTAAACTTCTAAAAAAACTTCATGTGGAAAAACAGTCACAGTTGTAAATTACTTATATTAATTTTGATTTTCGTAACTTGTTTAAACGTGTTAAATGAACATTTCATCAACGACGGATCAGATTTTCACCATCAGATGCCTTTAGGGAAATGTTACGAATGAAATACTCCAGTAGATACCTCTAGGTGAGCTATAAAATGGCCATAAAGGCAACAGAAGAAAATATCTACACGAGGCTATGCAGGAGTTTGGCATACCCAACACACTGACAAGACTGATGAATGTAAAATTAAATAACTCAACAAAAGAAAAATGAAGGTTCAGGGAGAATATTCAAGGACATTTCAGATTTGACAAGGCCTAAGACAGGGAGACTCACTTTCTTGTATGCTTCTTAGCCTAACATTGGAGAAAGTTACATTGTGACACCCGAGGAACAATATTTTTTGAGGGAGACCCAAATACCAAATCGAATATGCACTCTCTACAAGGAAACCCTTCATTATCTTGCATATGCTAAAGACATCGCACTGTTAGGGAAATGTAGTAAAGTCATATCATAGTCTTAATTGAATTAGACAACACATCACTACAAGCAGGTTAACAAACAAAAAAATACATAAAACATAACTTTGTTAAGAGAAGAGCAGACTGACGAAGCCACTAAAATTAGAAACCTCACTTTTGCAAATTAATTCAAATACATAGGATCTTTATTAAATGAAAGAAATCAGTCACTAACAGCAGAAGAATATTGGCTCGAAGCAGGGCATACTTCAGTAGTCAGAAAATACCCGAAAGTCAAATAATTACAAGAAAAACAAGGAAAACTGTATAAACACTGTAATCAGACCAGTTGTAAAATACGCAAGTGAAGCTCGGACCCTAACAAAAAACGTCAGAAAAACCTATTATACACAAGAGAGTTAAAATTCTCTGGAATGTATTTAGACCAACAAATGATGAATACGGATAGAGAATACGAACAAATGGGGAATGGTATAGTCTACAACAGGATCCCACGCTGCTAACAGAAGAAATAAAAAGAACAAGCTAGACTAGGCAGGACATTTAGAAAGTGTTATCCAACGTGTTTCCTGGATTCGTAAACTGCCAACCCACTCAGCACACAGCTACATAAAGTTAATGAAAGAAATAGAGTTCAAAATAAAACTTGTTTTACAAAACACATCAGCAGCACCCCCGAGAGGATAGAACATGTTATCCTTGGATGGTAACTCATTGATGAGAAGGAAAACTCGGAATTAAACCGGGAGATGACGCTCTGTACGCGGATAGCAATGAAACGATGAAACTGCCGGAGAATCCCATGACGCTACCGGTGCCAAGCTGTATCATCCATGTATGATGTTCACTGGGGTTAGCCAAGGGCGGGGAGAGACGCGATTCGCCATCTAGGGAACCACGCTGCCATTCTTAAGGAAAATCCCAATTTTTTTATGATGCCCTGCGAAGTCTTCACCACTGTCGCACTGTCACCGACGGATGCCAGAAACGAAAAGTCTTTGATTAGGTTGCCATTTTATTAATTGAAGTGAACTTGGTAGTTTTTTGGTTCAACAATCAGAATATTTTTGTTACATTTCATTTAAAAGTACTGCTATATATCAAGCGTGAAGCAAAAATCAAATATTTGCCCAATTCACTATAAACGTGTATATATATATATATATATATATATATATATATATATATATATATATATATATATATATATATATATAATCCAATGCATTCGGACGTTAAATATTATCTACGTCTAATAAAACTAATAAAATATTTGACCTCTCTCTGTACACGAAGATGATATTTGCCCACCTGGATTCTACGGCCCTGAATGCAGCAGGCGTTGCAACTGCAAAGATGTTGAAGAAGTCTGCAACATGCGGTCGGGAATTTGTGAGTCGGGCTGTGCGGCCGGTTTTCTCGGCGAGAGTTGTGATCTAGGTTGGTAACTGATGTATGTCTTATGTTTGGGGCATAGTCTTGTAACGTACGTTAGTGATCTAGGTTTGTAGCCTGTGTTTGTGATATAGGTTTGTAACTTGTGTTTGTGATACATGTTTGTAACTTGTGTTTGTGATCTACGCTTGTTACCTCTGTTTGTGATCTAGGTTTTTTTTTACCTGTGTTTGTGATCTAGGTTTTTTTTACCTGTGTTTGTGATTTAGGTTTGTAACTTGTGTTGCCTGTTTGTGAATTTGTTTGTTTACGTTAAAAGTTACAAGTTATCCTTGTTTATGTTTTAAAGTGTGCCCCAAAATCAATTTACGAAAAGGAATTTGAAATATGTTACGATACTGCTTCAATTATTTGTTTAGTTTTTTTCCTACACAACTATATTTTTGTTAATATTTTACACAAACCAAAAAAAAAAACAACAAACAACCAACACATTTCGTTTAAAATGACAAGATTGACTTCATTAGTTGTGTGTGTGCAAGCTCACCGACTTCCTTGTCGTATCTACGAGATAATAAATAAAGGACCGGCCATTCTTACAGGCAAACCAGGAAACTGTCTGGAGTACCAAAGTCTAGGGGCGTCATTTTGATCAAAAACAAAAATTTAAATTCTTTGTCCTCGAAAAAAATAAATTTCAACTCAATGAATAATAGTATTCTCTTGCTTGACGTTTCGATGATATTCCTTTTTACAACCAATATGGCTAAAAAGTACAAATCAGCTATTTTTATTAAAAAAAATCTTGTTACCAAAAGAAATCTCAAAAAGTGGCATTGCGAGAGACTGAGCCGCTCGATCCGGATTTTGAATTTAACGAGACCCCTAACACCCCCCCTCCCCCTTTATTTTTTTCAAACCCCCCAAAAATGTAAAAAATCCACTTCACAAAAAGATATAAATTCCTTTTTGTACAGTGAAACCTGGAAATACAGAACCTTGAAATAGCGCTGTCCCTGTCAAATGAACTAAATATTCCCGGAACGGAAACGGGGGGAAAGGGGGGGGGGAGAAAATCAAGGGCTTCGAAGATTCCTTACCACAATTGGGGGCTGGGGTGTTTGGGGCTCATTAAGCCCCTGGCCGAACAATTTTGTTAAATTCCAAATACAAGGATTCATTATTATGCATATCCGAATTTAATACTGCTCTTCTCTACACAGAGAAATGCTATGCATTTATGAATTGTCACTCATTAGTAATGCTGTTTAAAAATACTTATTTAAACGCTCTAAAACAATGAAGCTAATTAATGGGTATTAAACTCTTCGTTCGTAGATACGTTTTGTAGAGGCGATAATGCGCTTACAATAGAAGTAACGATAATCCAACGGCTTAAATTGAGTTGAAGACGCATCACTGCAGGCAGGACTGGAAACTAGCAACACAAAAAAAAAATATTAAAAAATACATGACTATGATACGAAAAGAACGGACAAGGGAAGCCATTAAAAGTAGGAATAACATTTTTGTAAAAGTAAAACAAATCACATATCTAGGGGTCAAATGAAATGAAATAAAGAAATTTCGCAATAAAAGAAAGAATATTGGCAAAAAAAAACAAAAAAAAACAAGACATCCTTCAGCAGTCAGAAAATACTCAAAAGTTAAAAAAAAAAGACAAAGAAAATATGATAAAACTGTAATCATACCAGTGTAACATGCGCATGAGGAAACGTGACCGATGAAAAACAGTTTGTACCCTAGTCACGCGACACATCTGCGAAGTATCAACAAATATGGTAATTTCTTTTCAAATTTTGCTGAAAATTAGGATTCAGCTTTGCAACTGAAATGTATTTCAAACATATTATGATCCTATTTGGCTCAGGAAATGCTCACATCTTTGGTTATGGTGTCTAAAGAAAATATTTTCAAAACTTAACTAGATTCTTTAGATGTCGTCAGTGCTATTAATAAAACTAAATTTCAGGAGTTTGACAGTCGACAAGTACACTAGTTATTGGGACAAGTGCACTAATTATTGTGACATGTGCACTAGTTATTGTAAAGTGCACTAGTTATTGTGACAAGTGCATTATCTATTATGACAAGTACACTACGTATTGGGAAAAGTACACTTGTTCTTGGGACAAGTGCACTAGTGATTGTGACATGTGCACTAGTTATTTTAAAGAGCACTAGTTATTGTGACATGTGCACTAGTTATTTTAAAGTGCACTAGTTATTGTGACAAGTGCATTAGCTATTATAACAAGTACACTACTTATCGGAAAAGTACACTAGTTATTGGGACAAGTACATTAGTTTTTGTGTCAATTAAAATTTGCAAAATTTTAAAAATGTGTTATGTGATGAAATTTACCCTTTTTTACCTTATTGTATTTTGGTTAAAGTTACGCCATTTTATTAAAAAGCCGTGTAAATTTAGAACAGCTTAGTCCTTAAGTTTGCCATACAAAATGTAAAACATATTAGGATGTATTGCATATATATGGTCGGCTGAATAAGACTTTGCTTTTTTAGGACTCCTCGTAAGTCTTCTTCATCATCCTCTTTTTAAATTATTAATTTTTAAAATTAAGCTGAATGTTTAAAAGAGGAAGGTCACCAAAATTTTAACTGCCAGGGGCACCAGAGTTTGTAGGCCCAACCCTGTTTATATGTAAACTACAATGCCTAAAATAAATCATGATCGAGGTACTCACTTCAGTACTCACTTCAGTACTCACGTCAGTATTCTCTTCAGTACTCACTTTAGCATTCACTTCACTATTCACTTCAGTATTCACTTCAGTACTCACTTAAGCATTCACTTCAGTACTCACTTAAAGCATTCACTTGAATATTCAATTCAGTACTCACTTAATCATTCACTTCAGTACTCAAGCATTCACTTCAGTAATCAATTATGTATTCACTTCAGTACTCACTTAGCAGTCACTTCAGTTCTCACTTTAGCATTTACTTTAGGACTCACTTTAGCATTCAATTCAGTAATCAATTCAGTATTTACTTCAGTAATCAATTTAGCCTTCCCTTAACTACTCACTTTAGAATTCATTTCAGTACTCACTTTAGCATTAACTGCAGTACTCACTTTGGCATTCGCTTGAGCAATCACTTCTGTAATCACCTTAGCATTCAATTAGTGCTCACTACAGTATTCACTTCAGTAATCAATTATGTATTTACTTCAGTACTCACTTAGCAGTCACTTCAGTTCTCACTTTAGCATTTACTTTAGGACTCACTCTATCATTCAATTTAGTAATCAATTCAGTATTCACTTCAGTAATCAATTTAGCCTTCTCTTAACTACTCACTTTAGAATTCATTTCAGTACTCACTTTAGCATTAACTGCAGTACTCACTTTGGCATTCGCTTGAGCAATCACTTCTGTAATCACTTTAGCATTCAATTAGTACTCACTACAGTATTCACTTCAGTACTCACTTTAGCATTCACTTCAGAACTCATTTCAGTATTCTCTTCAGTACTCACTTTAGCATCCAATTCAGTACTCACTTTAGCATTCAATTCAGTACTCGCTTAAGCATTCAATTTATTACTCATTTCAATAAACACTTCAGTATTCTAACTATTTAAAATATTTTTTTAAAACTTTAATACATGTGCACATCAATATTTCCGTTTATTTATCAAAATAAATATTATGTTTATTTCAAAATACTTAAAAACGAAATTATAAACACAATTAAAGATCCAAGTGAATTTCAAACCGCTGCGTTTAAGAAGAGTGTAATTTACCGTAAAGCTTATTTTGTGGTCCCCCTCAATCAGACTGTGGCCCCGGAAGTGTGATTGCAGCATGCCTGAAACCACCTTGCATCAATGAGAAATGTATCGACTCAACTTGTGATAGCGACACAGGCAAGTGTATCATTGGATGCGTTAACAGCAGCAGTACAGACCCTGTATGTCTCTCTGGTTAGTATAATTCTGAATAAATTGTATTTAAAATATAATCTATATTTACACAAATCAGTAAAATTATCTTTTTTTTTTCTTTTTATAAAATATCTATTACACCAAAACATTATTTCTTAATTAAAAGATATTTATATATTTTCACATGACCATTTTATGTTTAAAGTAAATTTAAATCGCACACCATTGTATCATTCTAACCACAGCTGGTGACATGTTTTATTTCATTATTTGTAGAAAAAACACATTGGTGATTGCATTTTATTTTACTATAGATTAAAATGGCACAAACAATTTGTGTAAATAAAACAAGATAGGTTCTGCTTTAAAAATATTTATACACAATACAAATGTAGAAGTTTCGGCAAATGCCTTCATCAGCACAAAATCATTTTTAAAATTATTTTTTAATCCCACTTTTGTATTTTGTATAATCGTGTAACTATTTTTAAAGCTGAACTTCATATTGTTTTATTTATGCAAGTGGTTTGTGTCGTATTTATCTACTTTAAAGCCTCATCGAAGTCCAATATTCTAAAGCTCTAATTTTACTATATGGTGGTGAATAGATTTTTAAAAATAAATTAAACTAATTCAAATGATTCAACTGAGATTTTTTTTCCAAGGGTGTGAGGACAAAAGGTTTGGCTCAACTTGTCAGTTTGCTTGTCACTGTACCGACAATGGATGCGACAACAGAGGATATTGCAAGGAAGACTCGTACTGCGCTCTTCGCTGGTTCGGTGCCGGATGTCAGTACCGTAAGTTTGTATCCTAGAATTCAGTACCATAAGTTTGAATTTTACATTTAAATACCACAAAATTTGTACCCTTAAATTTGAGTTTTTACTCTAGAGCTCAGTTCTGTACGTTTGTATCCCATATTTCAATACCGCAAGTTTATATCTTAGACTTCAGTACCAATAGTTTGTAAACTAGATTTCAGCACTGTGAGTTTGTATCATAGATGATATCATAACCGTAAGTTTGTATCCAAGATTTGAGTACCATAAGTTTGTATCCTAGTTATGAGTACCGTAAGTTTCTATCCTAAATGATATCAATACCGTAATGTTCTTTCCCATATTTATGTACTGTAAGTTTTTATCCTAAATTTCAGTACCGAAAGTTTGTATTCCAAAATTTAGTCTTTTAAGCTTGTATCCGAGTTGTCAAGGCTAAGGGTAGAGCAAGGTATGTGGAAGCTTCATATAGCTTAAACAAAGTCCTTCATTTGGTATCCTAGATGTCAGTATTGTATGTTCATATCTTAGATGTCGGCATCGTATGATCGTATTCTAGATGTCAGCATCGTATGTTTGTATCCTAGATGTCAGAATCGTATGTTTTTATTCCATATGTCAGTATCGTATGTTTGTATCAAAGATATCAGCATCGTATGTTTGTATCCTTAGTGTAAGAATCGTAATTTTGTATCCTAGATGTCAGCATCATATGTTTGTATCCTAGATTTCAGCATCGTATGTTTTTATCCTACATGTCAGTATCATATGTTTTTATCCTAGATTTCAGCATCGTATATTTGTATCATATATGTCAGTATCGTATGTTTGTATCAAAGATATCAGCATCGTATGTTTGTATCCTAAGTGTAAGAATCGTAATTTTGTATCCTAGATGTCAGCGTCGTATGTTTGTATCCTAGATTTCAGCATCGTATGTTTGTATCCTAGATTTCAGCATCGTATGTTTGTATCCTAAATGTCAGTATCGTGTGTTTGTATCCTAGATTTCAGCATCGTATGTTTGTATCCTAAATGTCAGTATCGTATCTCTTTATCCCAGATGTCAGCATCGTTTGTTTGTATCCTAGATGTCAGAATCTTTGCGTTTTTTTTTTGGTCATCTCACATGTCAGAAACAAAACGTTCTTTTGTGTTCTGGATATGAGTTTCACATGTATGAAGGGTGGATGCCAGTATCATGTTCGATATCCTGGAAGTTGGTATCATACGTTTGTATCCTGGATGTTGTTATTATATGTTTGTATCCTGGATGTTGTTATCATACTTTTGTATCGGGGATTTCATTATCGCGGGTTTTGATAAGTATTCTCAGACAAAGTGTTCAGCTTTTGATGAGGTTTTAAATGAACTTAAAATTAATTACAAATGGGTTTTCTGGCTTCACTTAATAACATATTATGACAGCATTAGGACAACAGTGAACGAAAATTATCAATTTAAAAAAAAAAAAAAACAGAATTAAAAGATGGGACAAAAGCCAGATAAATTAACATTTGATTTCACTGGCTAAATAATTTGTTCATATCTCATCTATTCTAATTTTAATGAATTGATATAGAGTGAAATATTATTAATATTTGTTTAGTTTTAAAGTGCCTCTATCATCTGTCTAATGGAAAAGTCAGAAAACAGTCAAGTTCTATTTTGTCCACTCAAAATTTGACTTTATTTTTCTTTCAATTTTTTTAGAGGATTTGTCATCACAAGCGAAACTAGTGACATCACCAGATCACAAACCATCTCACATTATAGATGGAGATGATGCTACGTGTGTCCTAGATCTCGACAACATCGAAGTCAATTTCACCAGATCAGTTTCATTCGCCTGGATACGACTCGTCGTTCTTGAACCTGGTACTTACAGGGTTTATATATATCATTGACCATCTTTATGTTAGGTTAAAACTTTAGAAAACAACTAAGTTTACCACAGCACCTAGTCTACCCTACTACCTAGTCTACTCCAATATCTAGTCTACCCTACCACCTAGTCTACTCCAATATCTAGTCTACCCTACCACCTAGTCCACTCAAATATCTAGTCTACCCTATCACCTAGTCCACTCCAATATCTAGTCTACCCTACCACCTAGTCTACTCCAATATCTAGTCTACCCTACCACCTAGTCCACTCAAATATCTAGTCTACCCTACCACCTAGTCTACTCCAATATCTAGTCTACCCTACCAACTAGTCTACTCGAATATCTAGTCTACCCTACCACCTAGTCCACTCCAATATCTAGTCTACCCTACCACCTAGTCCACTCCAATATCTAGTCTACCCTACCACCTAGTCTACTCCAATATCTAGTCTACCCTACCACCTAGTCCACTCCAATATCTAGTCTACCCTACCACCTAGTCCACTCCAATATCTAGTCTACCCTACCACCTAGTCCACTCCAATATCTAGTCTACCCTACCACCTAGTCCCCCACACCACCTAGTCTACCTCACTATCTAGTCTACCCTACCACCTAGTACACTCCAATATCTAGTCTACCCTACCATCTAGTCCACTCAAATATCTAGTCTACCCTACCACCTAGTCCACTCAAATATCTAGTCTACCCTACCACCTACTTAACTCAAATATCTAGTCTAACCTACCACCTAGTCCACTACAATATCTAGTCTACCCTACCACCTAGTCCACTCCAATATCTAGTCTACCCTACCACCTAGTCCACTCCACTTTCTAGTCTACCCTACCACCTAGTCCACTCCAATATCTAGTCTACCCTACCATCTAGTACACTCCAATATCTAGCCTACCCTACCACTTAACTCTCCACACCACCTAGTCTACCTCACTATCTTGTCTACCCTACCACCTAGCCCACTCCAATATCTAGTCTACCCTACCACCTAGCTCCCCACACCATCTAGTCTACCTCACTATCTTGTCTACCCTACCACCTAGTCCACTTCACTATCTATTCTATCCCACCACCTAGTCTACTCCACTATCGAGTCTACCCTACCACCTAGTCCCCCACAACCTAGTCTACCCTACCACCTAGTCCGCTCACCACCTAGTCTAAACCACTATCTAGTTTACCTTGCCACCTTGTCTACTCCACTATCTTGTCTACCCTATCACCTAGTCCACTCCATTATCTAGTCTACCCAACCACCTAGTCCACTCCACTATCGAGTCTACCCTACCACCTAGTCCCCTACCACCTAGTCTACCCTACCACCTAGTCCGCCCACCACCTAGTATAATCCACTATCTAGTCTACCCTACCACCTAGTCCACCCCACCACCTAGTCTACCCTATCACCTAGTCCACTCCACGATTTAGTCTACCCCACCACCTAGTCCGCCAATCACCTAGTCTAATCCACTATCTAGTTTACCCTACCCCCTTGTCTACTCCACTCTCTTGTCCACCCTATCACCTAGTCCACTCCATTATCTAGTCTACCCTACCACCTAGTCCACCCCACCACCTAGTCTACCCTATCACCAAGTCCACTCCAAGATCTAGTCTACCCCACCACTTAGTCTACCCAGCACCTAGTCTACCCACCACCTAGTCTACCCCACTATCTAGTTTACCCAACCACTTAGTCTATCTCACCAACCTGTCTACCCAGCACCTAGCATACCCCTCTACCTAGTCTACCCTATCACCTAGTCTACCCCACCAACTAGTCTACCCCACTACCTATCTACCCTAGCACAAATCAATCCTGGTTTATAGATGCAAGTGCTCTCATCAAATGGGTTTAGAAAAGGATGCTAAAATTATTAGGCGTTCTCATAAACAAAATATAGAGTAAATAGTAATGGGAAAGATGTAGCTCAAGGCTCTGTTCTAGGAACTATTCGACTATTTTAAGTTGTCAATAAGTTAATGGGTTTGATATTCGTTTATGTTTAATGTGTATGTAACGATAGTTAGGGTCATGTGTATATCCAATTAAGGTTAAACAGCGGATTATCTTTTACGGCCATTGATCATTATGTAGACTATATATCCAATGGAAAGTTACAGTAAAACCACCAAGAGGAGAATATAACATTCAAAAAGTCATTACATTTTTATTCTTCTGTTGTTAGTTAATTGTTATTTTTGTTGATCTGACAATGAAATTAATCTTGTCTCTAATTCATCTATTCGTGGATTTTTGTTGAATTTTTTTTTATCTGAAGGAGAAATACGTGTCTCTAATTCATCTGTTTATGGATTTTTCCAGATGAAGATCACACCAAGGCTAACATCCATTTCACCAACAGTCAGACCGGAGAAGAGTTCAACTGCACCAATATGCTAGAAGATATACTGGACAGGAGAACCACCGACATCTACTGCGAACTGTCCACGGTGGTTGATCACATGAACATCGCGTTGAACAAACCGAGATCGCTGTGTTCAGTCCACATCAGTGGAGGTGAGTGAGCCGCACGTTTTACATTTGTGCATGTGTGGTCAACTCGGCACACAGCTCCTTCACCCACAACCCTACACAACATTTTAATGAAGTTTATTTAAACCAATGGCCTAAATGGAGACTCGAGCAAAAAAAAACAACAACAAAAACACAAGTTAGAATATTTCTTAAGACACATACGCATATAAATACACAATCATAGATATTTGTACGGGAGTTAATCAAGTAAAAGGTAAACAATATTAACCCCAAAAAAAGAAACAAATCAAGAACATCAAGCAAAATGTATAGGGTTTGTCATTTCTAAGACCGGAAAACGTAACTTTCGTTTACGTAATGTTTCTATTTTAGACAATACCTCCGTAAATCATAGCTTCTAACAATGTATTTCCGGATATCTTTAGCAGTAAACTTTTCGTAAAATAAAGTTTTAAACACGATTTCATTAAGGTTGTGACTTACAATGGTGGCTCACATTGACGTAGAAATATCGAACGGCTGTTGAGACATTGGCCAAACGGATTGCCAGGTAGCTTTATTAATATCTTGACAAGATTGGCCAGACTGCATGACCGGATGTTCTATTAATGGATATCCGTCATGAAATGACAAAACCCTATAACAATTATTATGCGGCTGACATTTATGATTAAAATCTCTAGCACTTTTACACAGTGAAAAAGGAACAGATCTATACAATCCCCGGATAATTAGAAATTTACAGTAACACTCAAGACAACTCCACACGATATACGATCAGGTGGTCCATGTCTACGAAACAGATCCGTGTCTGGACATAAAATAGAAATCAGAAGCAAGAGAGGGTCGAGTTCTTACCTATCAACCCAAATGACCATGTCTAACCATTTTCCAAAAGAAAGTGAATTTTTTTTTTCATCGGACCCATCGCTACTAAAGGGCATTTTCAGTTTGACAAAAAAAAACAACAACACAACACTTTTTTGCTCTATTGCGATTGAATACTTATTGAAGATATTACCACTGTGAGGAACAGAAACGAAAAAAAAAACAATAAGTAAAGTTAAACCTAACGAAATATTCAGGGCAAGGATAATTTTTTGTTGATATGCATTTCAAATTCATACAACGGATGTACTGTATCAATGAAATGTATCATGTTAAAAATGTATCATGTTTTTGGGGGTATAATCCAGGCAGAAATATTGCACTATACGGCCGAACCAACCAGTCTTCATTTTACGCTGGTCTGGATCACTCTGAGGTGGCGAGCTCTGTCGCGGTTGATGGTGACACACTAGGTGACACGTGTGCACGGACCAGTATTAATGACCCTCGTCCCTACTGGACCCTCACACTTCCCAGGCCGCACGTGGTGAGCAGATATGTCGTTTACAACGGCGTCAGCGTCACAGGTGAGAAGATGCATTGATTGGAACGTCTCTATGTCCTTTTCTTTCATTGAAGGTGGAATTTAATTAAAAGTCTTGAGGGTTGGGGGGAGGAGTTGTGGTGTTTGGAAGAGAGATCATATTTTACAAAATTTTTCATGCAATCCCTTAATTTCGTTATTTCAGTCACTTGTAATAGGTGTAAGAAAATGTTGGTCTGACGTCATAAGGGATACGGTAGAAGTGGCTTAATGCAATCGACTAGTTTTAAGTACAGAAATTAAAAATTGTGCCCACCCCATCAACACCCCCGCCCCCCAACCCGCTATATTTTTTCTGTCATCTTTTCACGTGTCAAAGGAATAACATAAAATATCAAGTGTTATAACACTAAATGCACAAATTTTATTTCTAAGAATGTAGTGCTATTACATTTCAAAATATAACAGTTTTATATAAACATTTTTAAAATATTCATTATTTTTTGCATGTATTGTAGAAGGGCGCTTGACAAATCTGTTCGTTGAAAACAAAACAAACAAAAAAACAAAAACAAAAACAACACACACACCACCCCAAAAAAAAAAAAAAAAAAAAACAAAAACCACCCCCCCCCCCCCCAAAAAAAAAGATTTTTGACAAACGCATTAATTATGATTGATGATGTCGCAATTGTTTCTATCTATTGTAAACAATCAATAAATATATTTCCCATTCTAAACTAAGCCCTTCAAAAGATTGACACTAAATAAATATATTTCCCATTCTAAACTAAGACCTTCAAAAGATTGATTCATGAAGAAGATTAAATACAATGTAATTCAATAGCAGGTGCTGCCACTGCATCAGGATTTCCCCTTTCATCTACTTACTGCTCCCATTATAAATTATTTTTGTGTTCTTGACGTCATAGGCTCGCGACAAGGGTTCATCATCCACGCTGAAGACCAATTCGGTCAAACTGCATTTCAAACAACGGTGCTAGACGTCTGGGATAACTTCACTGTGATACTGACACCCAATGTCAGCACGCCCATACGATACGTGAAAATTGAGCCCCTGCCAGGCACAGACAGGCTCCTGACACTGTGTGAAGTGCAAGTTTATGGTGGTAACTATTTAAGATTACATCTCCATGGCTTTTGAGGGGTAGTTATTTATGACTGCATATCATGTTGTTGTGGTTTTTTTTTTCTGGTAAATATGATATCTCTCAGTTTCTTCATGTCCATCCATGGCGCCCGCAGGGATGGGCAGGGGGAGCACTTGCCCCCCCCCTCCCCCGGATTGATTGGATAAAAAAATTTTAGACAAAAATAGACAAAAAATGTATTAAAGTAAAGAGAAAATAAAGAGAAAGTAACTAACCTGTCCGTTCGTTCACCATACAAATACGCTACAGTAAATTAAAACTATATTAAAACATTACTAAAAAATGTTTGCCCCCCCTTTGGAAAATTAATCGATTATTATTACTATACTTATTTCAACATAAAAAAAATTTTTCCCCCCCCTTTGGAAATTTAATCGTTTTTTTTCCCCCCCCCCCCCCCTAGAAAGTTTTCTGCGGGCGCCCATGTGTCCATCATGAACATTTCGGACATATTTTCCAGCACACATGATTTTTTTAAACCGACAAATGGCAAGGCTATTGTATCAATAATTGTGTTTGTCTTAAATCTTAGCTTGTAAATAAAGTTTTAAAGTTTAAAAAAAAAGAGTACTTTGACATATTTAATTTGTTAAAGTAATGTGTAAAAGACATACTTTTTATACGGTTTGTATTTCCTATGGATGGTGGTACTAAATAATAGATAAAATAATTTAAAGAAGCATTAATTCTATCAATGGTCATTAATTTTGTTTCAATATTGTGCTCAAAGTGTCCAGATGATTTCTTATGGAAAGCAAGTCACTCCTTTTTCAAAAAAAAAATTAGTTTTATACTAAATAGATGAACGAGTCTAAAAATTAATGCCTGAATGTCTGCCCTGCTTAAGTAAGACAAACCCCCTTTATTAATATCCTCAGATGTCGTCTGCCCGGTCGGCTGGTTTGGTCCTGAATGCGACAGAAGGTGCAACTGTGCCTACACTTCTGACACCTGCTTGATCTCATCCGGTGGATGCCTGCTTGGATGTGCTGCAGGCTTCAGGGGCGAGGGCTGTAACACACGTGAGAATTTATTCGTTTTGTGCATACAGATATCGTCATATGAAACATTATAAACTAAATTGTTCATGATTGTATGCATATTTCCTCATAAAATATACCAGTTTTCATACATGATCTTTTATTCCGTAAAAAAAAAATGATTCGAACTCTTAGAAGGCTGTAATTCTGAAATAGATAAAGCCTTCTCCCAAACCTCAATGGGAGTCGCTTAGTCACTTCCTTGTTTGGTCACGTGATATGAGTAAGTCATCACTAGGCTGCAACACACAACAAAAGATACTTCATCAGTGCTTCCCCAATGTTATGTTAATTAAAAATTTTACCTTTCGTAATATTATGGAATGCAAGCGTTTTTTAATTAAAGGAAGAAAGTTATTTCAAGAAAAATTTGTGAGCGATATTCGATGTGAACTATCAATACTATTATCGGCAGGATGTTGTTGAGCTCCGTGCGTGCTCATGACGTCATTTGCGTTGTTATTCAATATTGATGCAGGAGTCATTCCCCTTTGTTTATTTTATTGTTAATTTTCATTGGACGAAATGTAGTGTAGTTGTAGTGTGTATCGGGCTGCTGTTGTCAAGCACTAGTGTGTTGTATACAGTATACCGGAAATCTTACTCGTTTTTACTCATATCACGTGACAAAATAATTGACTAAGCGACTCCCATTGCACAGTGTAACAATCGGTAGTTTTCATAACGTGTTACTAAAAGCCGAAATGTTGCAAATGACATGAGCTTGTTTTTAAAAAAAAACGACAACTCTATCGTGATTTTTTTAACTTGTTAAAGAGTTACAGATGAATTCAAATATTTCGTAAATTAATATTGCATTAAATTGTATTACTTTGAAACCGTTTTTTTCAATGTATTTTTTAACGTATATAAAAATCATGTTATGTACATGAATATATCATGTGTATCGGTAGCCTTGCTTCTATTAAATGGGTTGATCAAACGGGACTGCGGGTAACTTAGCTTCTCTTAAATGGGGTTGGAAATACGTGGCAAAAGGAAATAGCATAAGAGACACGTAGGCAGAAAGCCTAATTCAGCTAACAAAAGCTAGAGTAAAACAAAATTGAATGGACTTGCACCTCAAAAATGGTTGAGGGCTTATGGTCTACAGTTTATAGGGTTGATATATTGTAGGCTTTTGCCTGAACCATCCGAACCCCAAAATAACTGTTGCTAATGATTAAATGTACAAATAAATCACACAGGTACACATCTGATTCAATTGTTCATTGACACTTTTGACTGTTTATTGATATTATGTAATGGAGTATTGGAGAAGCGTACAATAAAAATAATAACAGTTATTCGCTGTAAATTGCTTGTAAACTTAAGTCAGTGTTGAAGTTTCTTTCTCGATTCGACCCCGTTCAAAGAATAGCTGTCCTGCCGCTCGCATGTCCGTTCAATCCAGCAACCTCAATAATAATTTTATTCAAAATACTTTGGTGAGATTTATGAATTTATAGGCTCCTTTATTTCTAAACCTACAGTGCTTGTTATTACTGCCGGCTCAGATGGGGCCTTGGTGCTCTGATTGTTTTAACCAATATGATAAAGATACGATAAACCAACAATGGATTAATTTTTTTTTTTTCAGCATGCTCACCTGGGACCTGGGGTGTTGGCTGCTTCAACAGGTGCAATGAAGACTGTGTTGATGATTTTTGTGATGCCATCAATGGTACCTGTCCAATGGAACACCCAGCGCCTTTGCTCACTTGGTGAGTAGCGCATCAACTTTAAGAACCGCCGACAAAAGTCATGGGGATACGACAAGCTTGACTTCTCCACCATGTTACCCCACATTTAACTTATTTAATTAGACAAGTGGATGTTACCTGGTGATAATTATATTCGTGTTGTCGATTTAAAAGAACGATAAATAGAAGAATAAAAAAAAAATTAGTTTTAAGTAGCATATATTTTAACCTTTTAAGCTATTGAATCTATCTTTATTTTCAGGTTGTGAAGGCATGTGCTGACCTAGACCGTTTATACGAGAACTTGTCAGACCTGAAATGATCTTAATTTTACTTGCATTTGTTTGTTAAAAATGAATTTCACATTTATTTTGCATTTTTCGTTTCGTTTATTTTGTTTTGTTTTGTAGTTTTCAAAGGAGTATCACATATACATTTGCTTATTTCTTACTCTCCAAAACCATTCATTGTACAGTAATAATAATTTCTACAATTGTCAAATGCAAAGTGCATATTCTTTTATCATAATATAATGTTTTTGTACTCATACCAATACAAAAATATCATTAATTTGTGCGTGAGTTTGTGATCATTCGATTGGCGTAAAAGTCACTGAGTGCCTCAGAAACATCCATAAAGTATAAGAGAAACAATGTACAAACATACAATTATGTTCCAATGTGTGAAGGACGACATAAGAAGTTACGTTGACATTCACGACATATGTCAAAGTTTGGAATTATTTGAGACTATATTAGTTAAGGTAGAGTAATAATTTACTTTATTTTTAAACTAGCCACGTTTTCGGGTAATAGAGTCTATGCAAATAATTTCTACACGGTAAATATTTAGGAATAAAAAAAAATAATAATGTTACGTTAAATTAAGTTGAATTAATGTTTACATGTGATATTTTAAAGGGTGAATAACAACTATAATACTCAAAAAAATAATTCTACAGCAAATCAAAGTGACATATCTTGACACACTATTTTTAAATTCATCACTGTCTGAAGTGCACAGAACTGCCGAGTTCTGAGATACGGCAGCGACAAGACGGGACAAGTACACACTCGTACTCACTTGACTCGGCGATAACACAGGCAAACAAGTAGAGAGACCTTAGTTCGTTCATCTTGACCGTACACTTGTACGTCTCTCATGTCAAGATGGGCTTTGTTATGGTGCGGCTTGGCGTACGACACGGTGACCATAGTTTAACACCAGCGGGCACCTTGGCGCAGGACATATCGACTTATCTTTAGGGCATTATTTTTTAATGTATTCATAACAATCAGTAAACATAACAATCAGTAACCATAACAATCGCTTCTACTTCCGCGTTCTCTTGTATCACAATTTAATTGACCTACAGCTCATTTTGAACTTAATATTAAGTACGTACAATACCTGTAAATGAGATCTATTTATAAATACAAGTTTCAAATAAGAGACATTGTCGATGCAATTGAAATACTTATTAGCTAGTGAATTTTTTTTTTACCTAATAAAGATTCATTTGCATCATTAAATTAAATTTACTTAGTTTCCATGTTTTAATAATTGTAAAGCGCTTAGAGCTTTATGATAAGCGCTATATAAAAATGCCTAAATAAATAAATAAATTAGTGTATTTGAAGTTATAATAGTCCAATAAAATATAATTCGTTGTGACGTAATATATTCTAAGAATTTATTACTTATTTTGACTGGCTTTCATACTCTGTTAGCTTACGAGTGAGAATCAAAGACATTTATTTTTGTGTATGCAAATAGAGTTTGATCTTAAAATTCAAACAATGAGCTTAAAAGGTCAAAACATGTAATATTTGTTTTAAAATTACGAGTATACTACGATGACAGATCTGTTTTAAAACATGTGCATTGCAAAACAACTCTGAAAGATATGTTCTAAAACATGTTCATTGCAATACAACTCTGAAAGATATGTTCTAAAACATGTGCATTGCAATACAACTTTGAAAGATATGTTCTAAAACATGTGCATTGCAATACAACTCTGACAGATATGTCCTAAAACATGTGCATTGCAATACAAATCTGAAAGATACGTTCTAAAACATATACATTGCAATACAACTCTGAAAGATATGTTCTAAAACGTGTGCATTGTAATGCAACTCTGAAAAATCTGTTCTAAAACATGTGCATTGCAATGCAACCCTGACAGATATGTCCTAAAACATGTGCATTGCAATACAACTCTGAAAGATACGTTCTAAAATATATACATTGCAAAACAACTCTGAAAGATATGTTCTGAAACATGTGCATTGCAATACAACTCTGAAAGATCTGACATAAAACATGTGCATTGCAATACAACTCTGAAAGATTTGTTCTAAAACATGTAATTTGTAATACAACTCTGAAAAATATGTTCTAAAACACGTTCATTGCAATACAACTCTGGAAGATATGCTCTAAATTATGTGCATTGCAATAGAACTCTGAAAGATATGTTCTAAAACATGTGCATTGCAATACAACTCTGAAAGACGTGTTCTAAAACATGCTCATTGTAATACAAAGGTGAAAGTCTTAAAGTTTTATGTTGACCAAAGCTATGAATGAGAAAAAGATGTGTGTGTGTGTGGGTGTTATTTGTTGCGTGTGTGTGGGGGTGAATGACAAAAACAAGACTGATAACACCTAACAAAGTAAGGGGAGAGAAACGTCAAAAATATGGCGCTGATAAAAGCATTTGATATGTTGTTGATAAAAGCATGGGATATTGTGTTGATCGGCCTGTTAATAAAGTTTATGCAAATATTTGCTTAAAGATTCAGCAAACCGAATCCCAAATTTCCTTTGATGCCAATTTAGCAATACTTAATGATGAAATCAATGACACGAGTTATCTTTCTTGTGATGGGAGTCTGCATCTTTCATACAGATGGTAAAAATTCCTTTATACCATTTCATAGTCTAGGTTATATTTAAGCTAATCAGAAAGGGTTTCATTAACAAATAATTAATTACCTAAAATATTAACTAAAAGTCATTGAGACAACCTGAACAAATACCTAGAATGTGCAAACGAAAAAAACCAAATGTTGATAAGGTATTTAGAAAATTTGTATTTTTCTTCAGAGATTACGATACTCTTTTTCTTCTCTATTTTGTGTACCCACGATCAATGAATTGATCATTCTGGCTTCTATGTTTCAGAGGGGTTCGCGATGTTACTGTGCATGGGTTTAAAGGGGATACTTCACTGGTTGCAAGGGCTACTCAGCAGTCGTGTTACGAACTGGGGGTTGGAAGACAGGAGGCAATAGACACAAATGTGTCGAGTGTAGCCGCCTCAACTGTTGCTTTTGGAAGCTTGTTCCAGTCACTTATTGTTTTTGGCAGGAATGAGGAGCTCCTGTAATTTGTTCTTGTTTTAACCAACCGGAACTCAGTCGGTGTTTCATCAGGGGTGAAGGTTGTGGATGGGTGAGGTGAAGTGGTCACTGACTGTGAGGCAACAAAGCAAGGCCTATACGATTTATTGTGCTTGTTGATAATTTAAGACCCCATTATTGTAATGGGTCAATACTCAATAAACGAACAAAGGCAGTGAATAATCATTCTGGAAAGAAAGAAACATTTCAATAGTTCTTAAGTAGCTTTGCATTTAACCTCTTAAACGAAACAACCATTAAAAACAAATGTTTTCGCATAACTCTTTTGTTTGCATTTACGTAATTTGTACGTGGGTTATCATGTATGCAATATCAGCAAATGATTTTCGGTATGGGAATGACTTTGCTCAAATTTAGTACATGTAAAATCTGATGGACTAAACATATTTTTAGACCCAAAAACGTCACAAATAAAAGGTATATAGAAACAATTTAACAAATCTTGAACCCCCACCTTTTTGTTTTGTTTTTGTTTTTAATAGGAACAGTGCTTTGTGGGCTTTGAGGGTGAAGGTGGGGCTGAAAATTTGTTCAATTGTTATGTCATTGGCTTAGAATCTAAGGGCCAAGTGTCAGCTTGATAGGATGACAGGAGGTGGGTCAGTCCGCCTTACGAAGACTTTGCCGCCACATAGAAAGAGCAAATGCAAAGTAAATTTTAAAGGATTTTTAAAAAGGTAAATGAACAACACGTTAAGCAGCACGAACGTAATTTTAGAACTCGTTTCTTTCTCTCAGCTGTATGTGATCCAGGATGGTATGGATCAAATTGTCAATTTCAATGTCACTGCAGCAACACAGTGTGCAACTCTATAGGGGAATGTCAAGCTGGTTTCAAGTGTGCCAGAGGCTGGTTCGGCCCAGGATGTCAATACCGTAAGCAGTTTGATGTATATGTATATATCCTACATTACCTTTTCTCCCCGAGACGAGCCTACTCTTAAATTACACCAGACCTTACCTCAGCCGTTACCCTAGTCCTTACCACAGCCCTCACCCTGGTCCTTACCCCAACCTTTAGCCAAATCTTTACATCAGTCCTTACCGCAGGTCTTACCCAGACCTTAGCCAACACTTACCCCAGTCCTGACCCAATCAACTCTAAATTCTCCTCGTTGCAGTGTTCTTCCTTGTCTAAGACAAACCCTCCTGAAATGTTCAAACCGCGCCTTATCTTCAGTCTCTTCCCTGTATCATCCCATTCATCTCCGTTTCCATTAATGATCTCCCTTTGATCTCACCAGGCATCATATATCGAACGAGAATTTAAAAATATATGAACTGTAATAAATTTATGAAATATTTGAGGATAGTCAAAATAACAGTTTCTACTGATTCCTTGTCAACTCATAAATTTTTACCTATGCTATTTTGCCTCAAACCAAAATAGAAAATTTCAGACTTTTATAAAAATATGTTATTAATAAGCTTGACCGCTTAAGGTACTCAACAAACACACAACCCCAATGAAATCATACATGTTATAGGCCAATCATCGTGGTAAATGTCACATGATAGACAAGTATTAAAACACTTTTACTTTTGTGTATTCAGCTTCTACAATGAAGCATTTTAATATAGTAAAATAATTAGCATTGTTCTATTTCATGCATTAAGACATGTTACTTCAGTTACATTATATAGTCAATTTTTTGTTTTTTTAATGTGCTTTCTTAGTAGATATAAAATATGTAGATAATTACTTTAAAAAATATATATATATTTCATTATTTTTCATTTACACTGGAAGCAAATTGAAACCATTTTTAAAAGTGTCATTATTTACCATTTAGTCATCAAGATCAGTAGTTCCCAAACCCCAGCCCAAGGGTCAGTTGAGGCCCGTCCGCTCTCAGAAAGTCTATCTATTTTTATCATAGTGTTATTTTATAATTTCAAAAAAAGTTCTGACGTTGTCGCCCGATTGATTACCGAAAAAAGAAGATATTGCAATCTACTTGACAAGCTTGGGAACCACTGACCTAGATCATACACTTAAAAAAAAATTACCAAAGAAAATCACCTCACATCCACAAGAAACATACAAAAGAAAATTAATAAAATGAAATATAATTATACTTCAATGTAATAGTTTACACTTCCGTATGAAACAGATTTTAATATTAAACAGTGCAATCGTCGG